GTGTGTGGAAGATAATTGCAAAAGCTGATGTGGTACAATTGAAAGTGTAAATAGATTGCAGGGATGTAGATGGTCTTAGAGCTACACTTGCAGATGAGATTGAGCCTTTACAGCTTTATGCCATCTTCTATAGACATTTTTGCATTCATACATCTGCAGTCTACCCTCCATGTAGGTGAGATAATCCACCTCCAACAGCAGGATTTAAGATGTTGAGTGTGCCATATAGCATGCTTGCTTTCACTCACTTTTCTGCACACAATGGATCTTGGGAAACATTGGTTCACAATTTCATGATTCTGTTCCTGGCTTGTCTTCTTATAAGAGTTATGCGAATCCTTATAATGTTGTAACTTCAAATTTTACTTTCTTGCAGTGCTCACAATCGCAGATTTGCTGCGAAACAATTTTTAAAGAAGTATCCCAAGGATCTTATTGTTCACTATAAGCATTTCTATCAGTGTGGCTCCCTTTCGCAGATGCCCTATTTCTTATTTGTTTGCCTAGCACTTGAATTGAAAGTTATATAGTCTCTTACGTCCGTACATGGCTTAGATATTGAAGGGAATGGTGAAAAATGTGTATGAAGATCATTTTCAATCTGCAGACCCAACAAACCCTTTATGACCTTAATGTGGTTGTAATGTTAATTTGGATTATGATGAAATTTGAGCAAAGTTTAACTTCCTCTCAGAGGTTTATGGACTGAAAATAAAGGGAGATGCCACTTACTGGCTGAAAACAAGAAATGTGCTTGGTGCGCATAACCCAAGAACTGCAACCAAATATGCCCATAATCATCCATCTGTTAACAAGATAGTTGCTAATCTTCCTAAGGAACAAATCACAGACTTCTTTGCGTCATTTATCTCAGAATCTAGAAGTTATAATTTGTTTGGATGGCATCATATAATTTAATAAATAACTACTTCCGTTGATTGACTGTATATTCTTGAGATTTGCTTGATTTTGCTCCTAGCATTTTTTCTCTCCACGTTATACATAACACCATATGTTCTTGTTCAATCTGGTATATGCAGGCAGCAAATGTAACTGTGCTTTGGCGACACTATATGGTGTTGACGTAATGGGCAGCAGATTAGCAGATGAGGTTGGTATTATTCTCTATGTTCCTTGTCATCTTGAACTTATTTGGATAACCTGCTTTATCGTTCCCAAGAAATTGTTAGAATCTCAAATGAATCTGCTGGTTTTGTTGGTGATATCTGTGGCACAACGTTATCCTAATCTTCAGAAGATCTCTTTTTATAGGTCACCACTTGGTGGCCTAATAGCAAGATATGCAATTGCTAAACTTTACTCACAAGATTACACAAATCAAACATGTGAAGGAAATGGAGACTGTAGATATGCAACATCTAACGAGCTATGCTCAGAGCATATCTCTAACGCAAAAATTGGTAGATTGGAGCCTTTCAACTTTATCACTGTTGCCACCCCACACCTTTGTTCTAATTCAAATTTTGTACGTTTTGCTGTCAATAAGCTGGCTTGGACATAATATTACTTCATAATCATCACCCCTTTTCTGTTATACTTGATTATTCATCTTCTTGCTCTTTATCACTAGTGCACATCCTAGCAGGGGTGTTCATAAAACCGCTAACCGCTCAAACCAAGTCAAACCGGACCGATTTTGGCGGTTTGAGCGCTTTGGAGGTCCGGTCCGGTTTGAAAAATAGCCAAACCGCTTGGTCCAATCTGGTCTGTGGTTTGAACGTTTTTTTGAGTGATCTGGACCGAACTGACCGCCAAAATTATGCACATTAATTATATTTAGTTTCAAGTTTATGACACAATTAAAAAATCGTCAAAGACATTATGTTTTTAGTTCTCATTTCTCAATCGACTATGTCATCTAAAATTGACAAAATTCCGAATTCTGTTAGAAATCAAATCCAAAATTCTAGATGGTCCTTCAACTTCCTCAATGTTTGTCTAAACTTCCAACTATTGTTAGCAAATTTATATAACTTCATTTTCAACTTGCTCAATGTTTTTTAGGTTACAGAGATAGACATATATTTTATAATTCGATATCCTACTTTTTAATAATGTTATATTAATAGGAATTTCATTTTGAAGATTAATGTTATGTTTTTCTCATTTTAAAACCTATAAGAGGAAAAAAACGCCTAAATCGGTCAGAGCAAAACACTTTTTTATGGTCCAGTTTGACCGGTTTGGTCATTTGTTGCCAAACTGCTTGGTTTGACAAATTTCCTAAACCGTCATCGCGGTTTGGTTTGTGGTTGGGGTGGTTAGGACCACGAACACCCCAACATCCTAGTAACTACCAAAATCACAAGTGATCATTTTTTCTCATGGGCATCAACTATCAACTTATGTAGTTGATCTGCTCAAGGAACATAGACTTCTTTGGATATCCAGTTCAAACGGATATAGAGCAAGTGATTTTATCACAGTTCCTAATCGTTCCTGGATTTCATAAGTTGCAACTATTACTGGCTTCAGGTCCTGATGTTTTGTGGACTTAACAGCCTTGAGAAACTAGCATACCACACATCTGGGGTGCTTAGAAGAACAGGAAGACATGTGTTTTTGAAAGATAAGGCTAATGGACAGGACGACCCCCTCTATTGCTTCAGATGGCCAACGATTCTGAAGACCTTAATTTTTTGTAAGTCTTCACGGATTAGTTTTGCATGAACTACTTCACATCGTTACTTTGTCCAAATTTGACTTTGTTTCCTTGATTTTGTAGATCTGCTTTGCAGTCCTTTAAGCGCCATGTTGTTCATGCAAATGCCCATTCTGACCTTATCCTATTTTGTAGATTTGCTTTCCAGTGACCTTTATATTTTTTATAGACACGTGGCGTTGGACAAATAACAAGAGGAAGAGAACTGAAGTAAATTACTTAAAACTCATGAATATTTTGTTGGATCAAAATAAGAAACAACACAGAAAAACAGGGCTGGAGATCAAAGGATATTCTTATTATTACTGCAGCAAATTTTTCTATTCAAGAAACACATATATATATATACATATGAAGCGACAGACAGTTAACCAACATATGGTTTATGAACCAACACAACTGTTGGTAAATAACCACCAAATAAAAACTGTCGCTAATAACCTATCAACTATGATAAACAAGATAACTTATAGATAATCACATGACTTAGCTTATAATTTTAACACTCCTCCTTAAGCTAAGACATATGTAACACACATCTTGAAGTATTCCAGCTTCAAGCATCATTCATCATCAGTCTTGATTTTCCCATGGAGAGTATCATCCATGGGTACATTCATTACCTTGTTTCTTTTCACAAGGTCATCATCATTCYTGTAACATGCATCATCCACTGGAGTTTCAAGTTCCTCAATTACCATGAACATTGTATCCCCTTCTTCAGTTGCATTTTCATAGATGAAATTTGCATCTTCACTCTCATCCTCTTTTCGTTTCTTRCAGTATTTCATAGTGTGTCCATATTTGTGACAATAATAACATTGAGTTTCAGATAAAGATCTTGCATGTACTTTTCCTTTTGCTTTTGTAGAGGAAAGGAATGCTTGTTCAGAAGGAGCATCATCGAAATTTCTCATCCGAAGTTCATGGGACTTGAGTGTCCCCAACATATTTTCCAAAGAAAGTAATGCCAAATCCTTTGATTCTTCGATGGTAACCACAACATACTCGAATTTTCGAGTCAAACTTCTTAAAATCTTCTCTACAATTCTTTTATCATCAATCCCTTCCCCATTAATCCTCATTTGATTAGTGAGGGTAATCACACGGTTATAAAAATCTTCAACGGACTCGGATTCCCTCATCCGAAGTCCATCGAATTCACAACGTAAGGTTTGCAAACGTACCATTTTAACTTTGTCTTCTCCACGGTAGGTCTTGTACAACATATCCCATGCATCCTTTGATGTAAGAGACGTTGAGATCCTCTCAAATATGGCCTCATCTACTGCTTGATAAATGAAGAATAATGCTTTCCTATCTTTTTTCTTACTTTCCTTCAGTTCTGTGGTTTGTTGTGCAGTCAAACCCGTTTGGTTTGATGGTTCGTTAAAACCATTCTCGACGATGTTCCACAGATCTTGAGATTCATATAGAACCTTCATCTGTATGCTCCAATGATGGTAATTTCTACCATTCAACTTTGGAAGTTGGGGCTGTAATAGATTGTTGTTTTGAGAAGCCATCTACGGTTTTTTCGTCAATTCCTTCGCACAGTTTCTGTCAATGAACCGTGGCTCTGATACCACTTTGTTGGATCAAAATAAGAAACAACACAGAAAAACAGGGCTGGAGATCAAAGGATATTCTTATTATTACTGCAGCAAATTTTTCTATTCAAGAAACACATATATATATATACATATGAAGCGACAGACAGTTAACCAACATATGGTTTATGAACCAACACAACTGTTGGTAAATAACCACCAAATAAAAACTGTCGCTAATAACCTATCAACTATGGTAAACAAGATAACTTGTAGATAATCACACGATTTAGCTTATAATTTTAACATATTTGATAATCATCACTCAAAGGTTCATGAAACACTTACAAATGCATTGGTTGGAGACAATATGACACCAATCTATTGGCATATGAAGCCCATGTAAATAGGAGACGGGTGCAACTCAATGGAACAGTTTTTTACTTTACCAAAACAACTAAAAAGCAAATCTTTATCATGCATACATATCCCACAAAATATTAAGATGTTGAAGCTCATGTCGATCATATCCATATTTCTCCCCTTTTAATGGCCTTAAATGTTCTTTTCTCTCCAGAAAATCGGGGGTCAATTCAATATCTCAATATTTCTTCTGCAGAACATTCATGTATTAATTAAACCAACTAATTCTTTGGTCTTGAGCATGTTGTAAACCTCTGTTCGTGAAGAATATGCTCGTAACAAGTCTTCTTCTTCTGATTGTACCTCGTCTATCAAACCTTCTACATGCATGGCCCTTTTTCTGAACTCAATGCTGTAAACAGATCTTGTGGGATTTTGTACATCATCAATTCATCATCGAAGTGAGCTGTCTAAGGTAATATATATATATATATATATATATACACTACATATATAACCATTTAAGACAAAGTCTTAAATACAACTCTTTAAGCACAAGTTACAACGGTTTTATGCAAGATTTTTAAAAAACTCTTAATTACAACTCATCAAGCATATGGTACAAGTTTTTTATGCATTTACCTTATCTCTCACAATTTCAGATTCTCTCACAAAAACCCTTTTGGCAAGTCAGACATAAACAKACCCTTTTCCAAGCTCTCCTCTTTGAAATTGGCAAGGTCAAAGATCGCTTTCTTTCGATATGGACGATTTCAGACTTCCAATTGCTTTCTTCCGGTCCTGCTACTCTGCACGCGATTTCAAATTCAAATCCGTGGCTCTCAAGACGATTGTGCATATACCAGGGTTTTGGAATATTGATTTTCAACAATGATTTCTCTGAGTTATTGATTTACATTTCGTGACTCCCTAGCGATTTCTTTGAGGTATTGTCCATTTCCATTTCAAAACCCTAGCGATTTACATTTTGTGTTGGTATTTGTTGTAGCCAAACTTTCATATACGTGTGTGTGTTTGTGTTTGTCTTTGTGATAAAAACTTGATCAGTTTGGGTTAAAGGGATAAACTGTCACTGTTAGGGTTCTTGTGTGGTGAAGAAAGATATTAGTTTGGAGCGACCCGGCATAGCTGGAACTTCAATTCTTTCAGATAGCAAGATTTTTGGCACTGCTGGCTGGGATCACAGGTTAGTACAATATACTAGGGTGTATGAGYTGAAACTGCCAAATCAAACTGGACAGTTTGGCTTCTTTTTTAGAGAGCCAGGTTCAGTCCTGTTGAAAGACACAGGTACCATTTTCGAATTTTAAGCCTTTGCAAGTTTGGTATGTATATAAAATATATAGGCATGTATGTAAACTATTTGTGATTTGCTTATAAACATAAAAAACTGATTACAAATGGTTAAAACTATATCAAAAGTAGTGTAATAGGAAATGTTTGGTGATAAGAAACTAAAAACATCAATGTCAATTTTGAATTAGAAAGTACTTGAATTTTCAAAATGAAGGGGCTCAAAAATTAGGAGGGGCTAAAAAATAGGAGGCATTTTGAAAATTTCAGCAGCTACAAGTTTCCATCAAGGGTCACCTTTCTAACTTAATAGCATGTTGATTGAGATGATATTCTTATATGGTTTGAACTCTTGTTATTGCTTTTTGCTGCTGATATTGTCTTAGTGAACATGGTGGCAGAATTAATATTTGATTATAAGTTTTGACTGGCTATTTAATATGTATTATCATTAACAATATGAAGTTCTATGATGAATAAATGGTGTCTTTTATCTATGCAGTATGCTAAGTTTGGTAAACCTACTATTGATGATTTTGTTCTTCCATTGAAAAAGCCTGCTTTTGGTTTTGTCATTGTTATACTATGACAATCTTCTCTTTCATCATCTTGAATTTGAAATTGGTTACCTTGACATGCTACAGGCTTTGAAAGACCAGTATGGAACGAATGACTGTGTTCAGCAAGCTGTCGAGCTGTTAGCGACTTCTGTATCCAAGATATACAATTTGTTGCAAGAAGTATACAAAGGTCTGCTTTATTCTGATATCTTGCCCTAGATTAGCCGCATGAAAGAATATAGGAAGGGCCTGAAGAGTACAGTTATGTGATGCTTACTTTCAATTGATTTAAGGTATTTTAATAATATGTYTGATGTTTAATAGTTATAGGAAATATATTTTTATTTTTTATCACAGTTTCACCACAGATGTTGGGATGTGAAGCTGTATGTCCCAAAATAGTTTGCAGAATCTATGGTGATTGGCAAGTTGATAAGCTCTCAGGTAAGAAATCCTTGACATCCTTGAAATAAGCCTTGAACACATGTGCAACTGTTATAAAAAATTATTCATTGGTATTCTAGAGTCTGGACCATTTTGATCTTATTCTTTGATTTTTATGCTTTGGATGGTAAACACCCAACTGCCATACCTGTTAACATTCCTCTCTTTACAGGGTTCTTTGTTTTTGTTTGTGCATACATCTTAGTCTAGATAAAAACAACAAAAGTAGATCAATGGTCTATTGTTTTATTATTACATTTGTAAAAGGGAGCCCATATACATGGAATTCAATAAGATTTACTGTGTGCTAAGCAGGGACGGACCCAGGAATTTTTTCAAACGGTGACACCGTATAATTAATATAGTATAATATACATCAAAACTGATTCACCAGGTGGCTCTTCCATTAGGGATTGTAGTATGTTTGTTTCCTTTTCCATTTAAACGAGCCGCTCGCTGCTGGCCGTAAAAAGGTTAGGATTGTTTTAAAGATGTTCTTCTTGGTGCTAGAATCAAAATTGATACTAATTTTGAATTTGACATTCGAATAGCAAACGTATAATYTGTTTTTGATTGAAAGTTTGCTTAGAAAAGAAATATTGCATTTGTTTTGGGATATATCTCAAAAAGAGATTCTTGGGATGGAGCCCGGATCGAGTATTCTCAAAATATTGCATTTGTTTTGGATATAGTTACTGGTGTTGCGGTATCTAACAACGGCTTCGACAACGGCTGATTTCTCTAATAAAGGTAGTCTTTCTGTCCTTATGTTATTTTTATCTCATGTTGCATTTTGCCTATAGTTTTTTTCTGCATAAAGATAGCTGTTACTAGGCAGAAATGCAGGTATAGGACTTCTATGGTGGTCTTTTATCAAGCCACTTAATCATGGCTTTTCACCTCAACATGCAAGTAATAGCCTCGAGTAGTCGCTTATACAACAATGCATCTTATCTTTTCACCTCAACATGCAACGTTTTGATTAATATTTAATATGCAACAAAATTCTTTTTGCATCTCCAAACTGATTTTGGGCTTTGAGATTTGTGATTTTCTCGCTAACCACATTGAACTACATGAAAGAATGACCTTGGTGTTGATATGCAGTGAAATACTTAATAATTTTGAATTTCAAACATACTAGGTTTGSCTGAAATAATMAAAGTGTAGCTCCTATAATCCTATTGGAAACAGAAGTAGTGCTTTGTATGTTTCTACAAGCTTTGATGGCTGCTTATGGATGCTAGCAACTTATATGGAGAAAGATTAAATCTCCTTCARCMCCAACTTATTTGAGTTTGTCTCACTTTGAGATTTTCTTAATGAAGATTTGATGGAAGGGAACAAAATATATGAAGATCACTTAAAAGTTAAAACGATATGCAGACCCTTTAGAAAGAAGATGAGGACATCTGTTGTTCAACAGAGTGAACAAAATGCAAGCTTAATAAATCTATATTATCTTATAAAGTATATAGGTAACTATACAGTGCATTCTCTATTGGAGGGGTTCAAGCCTATTGTATATTTGAGCAAATGTGCTACACCCCTTTGACAGTTGAGCTGCATGCCTAAGGGTTTTTTGTTATCCATTTAAATTAATTTTAACACCTTGCTCACCCGGTGCATTGCACGAGCACACTGTTATATTTAAATATGTAGTAATCTTCTGCTTTATTGTTTACATTTATTCAAACTTTACTTCCCACCTAGGGATGGGAACGGGGCGGGGATGGGGCGGGGACCCCAATACCCATCCCCGTCCCCCGATCCCATATGTATCCCCATCCCCGTCCCCGTCCCCGCCGGGGATTATGATCACATCCCCATCCTCATCCCCAACGGGGAAACGGGGATTTTTTTTAAAAACCAAAAATTATCAACAAGGGCTGTATGAACTGAGCACAAGGACAAAGAATTCTGCATACCATAATTCAACAATTTGATCTCCACCACTGTTGACCTCCTCATCATCCATCACAAAATCCAAAATGTCCCCTTCTTCTGCCATGTAATCGATTTCATCAACTTCATTATGAGGCATCCTGTAATCCCTGCACTAAAGAAAACACATTCTTTAGTAAATGCTTTACCTTCTAGGGATTCTTTAGTAAATGCTTTAACTTTAGTAAATGCTTTAACTTTTGACTTTCTCTCTTCCTCAAACAAAAAGGTAATTAGCAACTACATTAATCCATGACAAGAAATCACAATAAACATCCAAAAGCACAATCCTAAATACTTTGATTTTGAAGCCTGCTAGATTRGAGAGGCTTCGCTAGTTGTGAATTAAGTARTGAAAACAACTCAAACGATAGCGACAGAGAAAACCCTAGTTAGAAATCGCTGAAATTTCAATAATACACAAGTGGGAATCGAAATTGGAAAGAAAGGGAAGGGATTCGCAACCGTACATATGTATCTAGAAGATAAGAAAGGAAAGAGAAACCGTCGTCGTTCTTCGTTGTGTTGTTTTGGCAGCAGATTCAGAGGGGATGGAGTTGAATCTTTTATCTGCAAAAACTTGAAGAAATTAGGGAAAAGAAAGATCAATCTGGTGATCTAGACTGATAATCTGTGAAGGGATGGATAGATTACAATGAGTCTCTCTCTCTCTCTCTAAAATCAAAGGTGGATCTTTGAAGGGTTTTCCTTTATTCTAGTCTGTGTCGTGGATGAATTATTATTACAATACAAGAGCAGCGTTGTGGAGAATATAAGATTATAAGAAGTAAAGATGAAGAATATAAGACCTGGAGGGAAAGAGCAGCGCTGTGGAGACTAGAGCGGAAAGAGCAGCAGCGCTGGGCCGGTCACAGCCTCACAGGCCTGTCGGCTGTCGCCGTCGTGGCGTAGCCTGTCGGGAGAGAGCCGCCTGCCGCCGTGCGTGGTTCGTGAATCGTGAGGAGAAATGGAGATATCAAAGGCTCAAAGTCGATTAGGGATGCTGGGATGGAGTCATGGAGTAAGGGATGGACTATGTCTATGGACTATGGAGAAATTAGGATTTACAGCTTTAAGCCCAAGGCCCAATTTTTTAAAAAACATATATATATAAAACGGGTACAGGGCGGGGCGGGGAGTGCTATACCCGTCCCCGGCCCCATCCCCGGATTGCTTCAAGCGGGGATCCCCGTCCCCGTCCCCGGACCCGATTTTTCGGGGAATCCCCGTCCCCGATCGGGGAGGGTGGACCGGGTTACCCGACGGGTCGGGTACAATTTCCATCCCTATTCCCACCGCATCGCATGGGTACTCGTGATTTCAAGTGATGTTCTACATATAATGATATTCGTTTTGTAAATGTAAAAGATTTCTGTATCGTCCGAGTAATATGAATAATACTATTGTAAATCATATTGATAACAATGGAAATGACAAAGTTAAAATTGGATACGACTATGGTCGAAAAATATGGTTTTTATAGTACCGATAGGTCCAGATTCATAATGGACCACCACATGTGTCCCATTATCTGTTTTCCCATTGCCATTGCTTCAACCTATTGGTGCTATTGGTTGTGGTTGGTTGACAAGATTCCTTTATTGTCATTATTGGAGGTCATTCAAGACAATGGAGAAATAGTGAAACACACTCATAGAACATTATGTGAAGTCAAATGTTTCTCATGGGACAGAGGGAGGATTTTTAAAATTTTAAAACCTTTCCTGTTTCACATTTGATTAATAATCTTTTGCTTTTGTCGAACTCAGAATTCATGAGTGGGGGAAGTGTGTATGACTATTTACACAAACAAAAGGGTACATTTAAGCTTCCAACATTGCTCAAGATTTCAATTGATATATCAAAGGGTATGAACTACCTGCACCAGAATAACATAATACACAGGGACCTCAAGGCTGCAAATCTTCTGCTGGATGAACATGATGTAAGATGCTCACTCTTTTCTATAGTAATCCTGTTATTAATGAAGCTTCTTATCACTTCCTACTGAAAGTTCATTACACTTGATGCCAACTCCCTTTATGGAATTCACTTATCAAGACCTGTCCTGATGGATCCAAACAACCACGAAAAACCATATTCTATTCCTACTGTCTTGTTCTTCTTGTGAAGCTTCATGTATCTTAACTCATACTTGGATAATTTTACGGGTGATTATTTGTTATATAAGTAATTTGTCACAAACTTTATAACTGGTACCATATCTATTTTGCTATTTAATCTTTATAATAACATCTGTAATGTTTGGTTAAATTTCAAACAACCAGACCAGCAATGTCATATGAACAGGCCTCAAAATTTCCAATACTTCTCAAACAACCAAATCAAAGAGAATAGCAATGGCATATGAACAGGCCTCAAAATTTCAAAAATAAACATAGTAAACCAGACCAGACAGATCTGATTCAAACCAGAATCAGAGGCCAAAACCATTACACACTTTCATTATTTCTGTAATAAGCTTCTTAATTTTAGTTTATAATTGCTTTTGTAATAAGCTTCTTAATTGTATCGACTCTCTTTCTGTTAGCAGCTCATGCTTCATTCTTTCATCTTTATAAAGAAYATTCTTTTTAATTTTCTTGGGTTTGTTTGGTTTACTTTGGTTTGGTTCTTTGCAATTTTAGTTTCTTACATGGATGTATGGAGTAAAAGATTTTAACAAATCCGCGTGTATAATATTACCTAATATGAATGGTGGAGGGATACCGAAGGATGGAAATTCCATTTCTTTGTAAACTGATGCTTATCTTCCATCTCATCTTATGAAGGAAGTCAATGAGTTGAGTAAGTCATATCTTGAATCTTGTCAGCAATATAAAACAAAGAAAGAGGCCAAATTGGCTCTCATTGCAGAGCGACGACAGGAGGTTCAGTCAGTTATCTATGAAGCCTCTGTTCAATCATCTGTGGAGTCATTTTGGTGGATTTCAGTAGACTGGCTACACCAATGGGCAGACACCATCACTCCTACGTAAGTGAAATCTTATTACCACTTCTCTTCCCATAGCATTTTATCTCATGTTTAACTTTGGTGAAAAAAGCATTCATGAGTGAAGATAAGTGGTAACAAATAAAATACAAACATTGTTAGCATATACTCAAACACTATAATTAAACACTCTTATTTTGATGTTTGAAGTGGCTGCATAGCTCCATCAATTTAATTGGACAACAGTAGCATGGGAGTTTCTGCTTTCTCTGTGTGTGTATAAGATGAAATGGAAACAACATATTCTGTTTCTAACAATATGAAGAAACTTGGTTAAATGGACTGTTTAAATGTCTATATGGCAAAGAGTTGGTTAAACTTTGACGGTGTAGACAACGGCTGGTGGTGAAGAGTTGCCAAAGAAGCTGCAACTCTACTCATTTTTTCATGAGCAGTTCCTCTATATGCTTTTCTTTATATCCATCTTGATGATCAGCAATCCTACACATTTCCTGCTTATTTTTCTTATGTATTTAGCCATTTTGTTTCAATTGCAGATTGAATATCCTAAAATCGAAGATATTACAAAATTAAGACATTGATTTATGTCATCCTTTGAGCAGGTGTGACCTATTTTTACTTTGATATGATTATAGAGATCTTTTAACATAAAGACAATTTCCAATTTTCCATGTGCTAAGCCTTCGAATGTATTTTGCTCCAAGCAGTAACATTTTTTGAAAAGGTGGTTACCTACATGTGGAGATCTGCCACAACCTTGTATTCAACCTGTTGTAGACAATGCACTATTCGTGCAGGTCTTTATGTGTTGTTGGGTGTGGCTGTCTGTATGTTAGCTTCATAATATATGAATTGATTTTGAGCTTATATGGTTTTTTGTAAGCAACGTGCAAAACATAATATAATTTGATAAATGTCCTTCGTCTCAATTTTAACGGTCAATTTAATGGCACTAGGATAAAGGAAAGCTCGTTTTGCCAGTTTTATCCCAACTAACTCATGCTCCTTTTCCTTGCCTCATTCATGTAGTTTCTTTTATAAGTCGTATTAAGGTCTTGTTATCGTCCCATTAAGTACTGTTGAGGATGGTGTATTTATTGGTTTACTCTTGAACCTTGATCCCACCTTATGTGTTCATTTAGTGCTACTTAACAACCTATCACTTTTCTGCACCTCCTGATTCTTGAAGGTATTAGATCTTAGGCTAGAAAATGAAGCCCTGGTCACTCTTCAAAATAGATGCCAACCATAATCTGATTGTCATGCATTCCACAAATTTTGGCTGCTCGTGACAGGCTAATGTATTGCACGCATCTCTACATATGGTCGAACTTGGACAAACTTGTAAGTGAACTGTTCCAACCATCATGTCACTTCATGACCATTACCCGACTTGATGATCATTTTCCATTTTCTTCATGTCCATATATTGTTCCATTAGGGTTCATTTAGCTTTTAGGGTGTTGATTTGACATGTGTAGTTTAGTAATCTACCAATATTGTCTCATCTTCTGATATTTGTTCCACCTATTTGGGTGGGACGAAAAGATGCATTTTTTGTCCCACCCAGTACTGTCTGGTCTCCTATTTAATGTATTGCCAAATGTGGGACAACAAGTTTTTGTTCTGTTCTGTCCTGTCTCACATACCAAACGCTCCCTTAATGAACTCATTATTCACCTTTGTTGTCCGATAGGGGTCACCAAATAACCTGTGATAAACACTCGTACTTCACCTTATATCCCATATGTTTTGCCTATCTAATTATGTTGTTGTAGGTTAAGAACAAGTGGTCACAGGTTATTTTGTTTATGATCATGTTGTAGGCATGATTTCAAATATTAAGCAGATATATTCCACCYGAATTGTTGCATTTTCTAGGTACATGATGACATTTTGTATTACTTCTTTTTAACTATACGAGGGCAAAATTGGCATCATGGTAAATAGTTATGTTGAACAGAAGTCACCGTTTATTTGTTGACAACCAAACAGGCTATATTATCATATAGAAGTTGACCAAAAGTTATCACAAGTAATAGCTCATTGTTATCCCTTCATCCAAGAGCATGGTTRTTGAGATTATTGTTAAATAATTTAAAACTAACTATTTAATAAAATCAAGTGTTGAAGGATATATGTTTGCAATTACCATTATGCCCTTATAATAGTTGGCATGCTTTATCTTAAGCTTAGGTTGGTCAACTTATCTGTGTCATTTTAGTCATATGTGCTTCCATTTAACTTCTACATAGATCAGTATGTGGCTTGAGAATGTCATCAGACTGTTCTATTAATTTTGGACTATATGTATGTGTGTGTGCATCTTGTTTCTTTAACTCACCCTTTCTTTTATTTTAACTTAATTTTAACTTGAACTTTACTTGATGGATAAAACACCCCTTTACAAGGATATTACTGATGTTTGATGTTTTTGTTGAAGAAAAATTATATGAGGTGCAAATGTACAAGTGTTGGTRCTTTTTATTTGTTGAAACAAAATCTGAAATATTACTTTATTGTTTTCGTTAACACTAATAAGGTATGATATTTTTCCTATTTTCACCTAGATGTCTCGAACAAAAGCATACATTGCGTCCATTAGTTATTGCTTCTTATAATCATATACTTTTGTTAGTCCTATATCATTCAAAACCTATTCTGAATCAAGATTAGCAAAATCTCTTTCTTTTCCTGCTGTTTCTAAATAATGAAGTTTTTGCTGCTCCTCAAATGTCACCAAAAT